ATTAATCGGTCACAATCTGCCTAAATGTACACAGGATGGGAATGTACTGTTCTGAAATGAGTTACGTGGTCTCCATCCACTTTCTTATGGACAAATAACCCTGCTGCCATATCCTCATTCCTGTGAGCACCATCTTAGCCCACTTTGGGATGGTTTAAGCAAAGAGATCATAGGTTTGAATGCACAGGGACACTAACAGTGAGCTGCTTTTCATCCCACCCAGGTCTGTAACTTTTGAAAATCTGTCCTTTTTCTTTTTGTCCCAACAGTCTGAGCTCTCATTCATGCCTTCATCATCTCATGTCCTGATTTATACTAGTGCCTCCTTTCATGACTCTGAGTCTCCCATCACTGTCAGCCAGTCCATTCAGAATTTATTTACTGTGATATCTTCAGTTTCCCTCCTTCATTCATGTGTCACCCTATAGGCCCTCCTGTACAGTACTAATCTTGTTCTGATTGTTGATGCTTCTCACAGCTGAGTTCCTCCTTATTTGTTTGCTCTTCTCTGTCTGTGAGATGTCATTGAGATATCCCTCCATCTCCTCTGTTTGATCAGTAAAGCCAGCCTCTCATGTAACATCTCAGTTCTTTCTTCCATTTTGCCATTCACATATGGACTGCTTTCCTTGAAGTGATCCATACAGCACTTCCTCTTTCCTGTTTCATGCCCTTCCTTAGTTTTGTCTTTGCTGCAATGCCCACAATATATTAACCATCTGATAAGAGTTATGGACCACCTGATGTAGCCAGTAGATCCTTATCCTGTTGTTCTTGCACCTTCTCTTGATAGAAAACTCTTCAAGGTAAGGACTGGTTCTTAACTTTTTTTTTAGAGTCAAGGTACCTCTCATTAGACTTGAGGCACCCCATGGAAAATGCCATCTCTTAGTTTTTCACTTATTTGGGCTACAGAAAAATAATAGAGAAATTCTTCTGTTACCAAGAACTCAGAAAAAACACAACAGGTCAGCATGTTTTAATACTATGGATTTCTATTTGAAATTCCTGAGTTTAGTTTATTAATCTATTTGCACATCTAACAGTACTAACATTGTATGACAACCTGTAGAACCCTTGAAAAGGATCCTAGCATGCTGTGGCACCTGGGTTGAGAATTACTAGTCTATAGGAACTATTAAGACTACAAATGTATGCAGAATGGTTTGTTTAATAATCTGGACTTACTACCAGCCTTCCACAAATGTTTGTCCTGGAGTTGCTTCAGATTTGGGTTTCATATTTATTTTCCCTGAACTTGTCCACCCAGAAAGATCCCATGCACTTCCACAGTGATTCATGAATATAATAAATACCCACAGAGAAGATCTGTCCCCTATACAAAAAAAATGCAGTTACCAGAAATAACTGCAAGGAATGCTGGATCACTACAAAGTAGAAATCTTATCTTGGTAGGTCCTGAACGTTGACTGGCATGGACTTGTACTGCCAGTACCACTTTCTCAAAGAATCTGAAGTCTAGCATGTTTGAAGGAAATGATAGGCATGAGCCCAAATTCTTATACCAAAGAGCTCCAAACTTTAGGGAAGTTTGCATTTAAACTTTTAACTTCATACCTGGGTCTGAAAAATAGCTGAGCTAATTGGGGAATAGGAGATCAGGATTACAGATATTGTGATTGGGCCCACCACCTTGGATTTTGATATGAGGAAATAATAACAATTATGGTTAAAAACAAAGGCTTCAGTAAACACACACAAAACGGAAAGAGAAAACAGTCCTGCTGCTTCCGAAAGCCAAAGGGAGCAGGATAGTTCATTATACAGTGCTGTGGCTAACAAAGAGGAATAACTTGGGCTGCTTGTTTTTTCTTTCAAAACAATGGACATATGCATAATATGCCCTCAGAAATTTGTGCACTCCACAACATTTCAAATGTGAATCTACTGACTTCAGAGTCATTTCCAATAACCACAAGACAGACCAGTTTCCATGGCAATGACAGACTAAATATGGAAGGCTAAAGTTGCATTGGATGTGTCGTTCACATCCTTTTGATAAAGTATTCCCAATGAATTGCTGTACACCTGTGCCTAGGTTGGCAGCAGGTGTGCGAGGCTAGTAAATGAAAATGTAAAAGTGAAGGTTCCTTTTCAATTATAAAGGATCAAAGTTTTTATTAACTTCCTTAGTTAAAAGCCTATGTTCTTTTTTGAGTCATTTGTTTGAGAATTGTACATGGACTGTAAGTTAATAGCCACTTTTTCCACTTTTACTTGCTAGGTATTAGCAAGGAGAACAGCCTGAATACCCAGTGGGAGATGGTAAATAGTGGTGATATGGTCTAAAATAGTATTAGAAATCAAATTACTTTTCACTAAAACAGACCCAGCAGCTGCTTCTAATCCTAAAGCTGGCACAAATTGCTGTTATGTCAAATAAAACTCTTTAGTATCTGATACTTTTATTGCTTCCAGTGCTTTGGGTTTAAATCCAGCTGTGAAAACTGCTGCCTTAAGCTGCACAATTAATTTATTCTTTTAATGTAATCAGAATATATTATGTTAAAGGTAGAATCTTAGCACATACCACTTCATGCTACAGGCTCAAGAGTACTTTTGAACTGTTGTAGAGTTTGTTTCAGAGCACATTTTTGGGCAGGGTCCCCTTTGCTTTTTGTTGAAAATATTTGTTAATGAAAAATACATGGAGATAACTAGAAAGCAGTCTTCTAACTGATTTATGTCCTGTCATTCCTCTTTTATGTGCATTTCTGTATAGGTCCACCCTGACACTGTGTTCCTTCCCTCCTTTTCTGGCACAACTTTTTACCATTAAGCATCTGGCAACAGTATCAATCACTATGCCAATATGATAATCATCTTTTAAATACTTCCCTAATTTGAGACCTGGTTTTGGTTGTGCATATTAGTTACATCTTTGAGCACAGTGAGAATGCAATAGTGTTCTAGTGCATGGAACCACATTTATGGCTCATTAAGCAGGTCTTTATGAGTAACAAAATCCCTTTTCCAGTTAGCAGTTGCATTTTTAATTAGTCATTTATTTTACTTCAGATTTTGTTGTATTTTCTCTGTGTCCGTGTGCAACACCAAAGCAGTTCTGGCAGAAAGAATAATTTCTGCATGGTGCTGACTTCAGGTGTGTTTTTCTGATATGCCCATACCTGGAAAACATTAAAGGTTAGGGTCACTGACATGTATAACAACCATACACATTCGTGTATCAAAATGAAGTTCTACTGCTCATTCCAAAACTTCATCCTTGTGGGAGGGGATTCAGATGGCTCCTAAAGGTAGGTGGGAGGATGTTTTTGGAACCTCTAATTAACTAGATACTCGTGACATCCTGAACTTGTTTTTGCCTGATAATTTCTTCCTTAAAGACCTCTTCATAAAGCATACAAGAGTAAAGTATTATAATGATCTTTCATTAAATGATAACTTGGCAAATGTTTAATTACTGTGCTTAGAGGAAGGAAAAGAACAACTGTGGTGATATTATTATGCTTCCAGGCCTCTCTGCAACAATTATATCCAGAGCAGTCAGGTGCTTATAAATTTTAAGTCCAGTAATTGATATGAATTTTGTTTAAGAATGTCTTGTGTCATTGTTGAAAACCCCACTTGGACAAAATACTTGCAACCGCATGCATTACTCCTGGTGGCTGAAACCATATAAAAGTTACTGGAACAGTTTACACAACCTCTTTTCAACATGTGATTAGTTAAAGATTTGGTTTTTAAGGTTATAATGTGGTGAAAGAGACCCAGGATAAAAAATTATGTGCTCTACTTGTTTAACTTTCACATTCCCAGCATTGTTTTATATTTTTATGTAAGAATTACCTGCTGGGTGGCTGAAGGTTTTTGTAAGATAACTTATATATCACAGGTTTATTTGAACTGAAAGTTTGCTTGTTTACTCAACCTGAGTTAATATATAACTATGGTAATGAAGGACATGTAGTAGTACTCACTGAAACCTTCACAGATATTTTTGTAAGTACAGAAATCAACCTTACCATGATCTTTGCTGTATTCCCTGTATGATACTGCTGACAGTAACAGCTGTGTCGATAATAGCATACATACTGAAGTAACAATATCTTACAAATGCACTTATAAAGATTTTGATGGTAGCTGCAGTAGAAGCAGGAGAGGGGGAGAATTTGAGCTTCAATGCCTCCATTGTAGTTCAGTAACAGCTGTCACTTGGCTTCCTTCTGAGGGTAAATTTACAGTCCTTTTTTGATCTTCAAAGGAATTTTCCAGTAGAATTAAATATTCAGATAAAAACAAATTAAGGAGCAGTGTACCTCTTTAGTTAATTCTTCATTTGAAGCATGGAAAATACATAGTGTGTATATATATACTATTATTTTTTGTTGTTTAAGATTTAATGTCATTGTTGATGTAAATCACACCATGTTCCTTTTTCTCTCCACCCCCTACAGTTTTAGTGGAGTAAAAGTTCAGTGACCTTCAGCAATCCAGAAGATCCTTTTCTGACAAATAACCAAGAAAAAGATGGGCAGTGGTTTTTTGAAAGGGAATAATTTTTATCCAGGGTTATACATAACAGCTGCTTGTAGACATTAAAAAAATGCTTTACCGGAATAAGCAGCACATTACTTTGACCCGGCTCTATAGCATCTGTATAGATCAGGCAGTTCAGTGGGGCTTTTTGGCACTTTTATCTAATAGCTGGTTCAATCAGCTATTAGATAAAAGCACCAAAAATGCCCCACTAGAAGTGCCTGATCAGTATTACAGATGTTGGGAGAGCCAGGTCCAATTAATGTGCTGCCTTTCCTGGGCATACGCGGGGCTCGGCACAGGGGCACACGGAGTTTAAAGTAAAGTGCCATTGTTTTTTAATGTCTGCAAGGAGCCAACATTATTTAGTATTATGCATGTACCTTCAGCTTTATGGAATGATGAATTTCACACTTCTGGTTTAATTAAAAAACAGCTAAATTTTTGCTTAATACCTCTTGCTTTTCTTTTTAAAATAGATTGAACAAATGAGGAATGAGCTACTTCAGGAAAGGGCTACAAAACAAGATTTGGAGTGTGACAAGATTTCATTGGAAAGGCAGGTAATAACTGCAGTTCTGCCATCGTCTCTCCATATCTAGCTAAGCAGAATCAGTGCTTTTATTGGGAGCCTGCAAGCAGTATGCAAGACAAGGAAGTGGTGCTGGTGATTCACTAGCTGGTACTACCCCAACATGATGTGCTTGGAGATACTAACAGGCTTCTGAAGAGACCAAAAAGTAAATTTCTCACCATCTGTGGTCATTAAAGATTCCAAGGCACTGCCATAAAAGTAAAAATATATTTGCATTGTTCAGCTCTGTATATACATTCTCCCTCTCTCATATGCAGGAGAGCATATAAGCCTCCATGGCTCACTAAAAACATCCGGGAATGTCTCCTTGCCAAAAAGGAGGCTTACTCCCCATGGAAAGGAGGGGTCATCACTAAGGAGGACTATTCAGCAGTTGCTCGGGGATGTAGGGGGATGGTTAGGAAGGCCAAGGCAGAGATGGAACAGGGGCTGGCTTCCTGGATTAAGGACAACAAGAAGTCCTTTTTTAAGTACATAGGGAGAAGAAAGAAGGCCCCAGGAAATGTGGGGCCCTTGCAGGACAAGACGGGGAATCTGGTTGTCACGCCAGACGAC